AAAACACACGGGAGAGGAGTCGGAGGAGGTTCACTGCAATCTTAAAATTCCTTGACATAGGAGTGTTTCATCCTAAATACGTAATTTTCATGTGAAACTTAACCATGTACTTGTAAGAAAAAGACTTTTTGCATCTTAACTGCCTTAATTTTAAAGAACAGCATTTTTTCAGCCATGATCAGCATTTTTAGAATCTATATGAACATCCTGTAGTTTTTAATTTAAAACACACATTTTCTTGTATGCTCCAATGAACCAGCTGTACTGATAGTGCAAATATAAGCAAAACCAACATAACATTCTGCATGAGCTCTGCTTCATTTAATATACGCTCTTAGCATGTTTGAAAAACAAAAACACAGTTAGGAGTAAGAGGCTAAATGATAAAGAACTCCCCTTCATTTATTGCCCATTAAGACCTCCCCTTGTTTTCTCCAAGTATCTCTCTACTAAGTCAAAGGCATTAAATCAAGGTACAAAGTGTTGTTTTGGAAGAACTTGCCCATTTCATGTGTATAAGCCCCAAATGGGTACAAAACACTCCATGAACTGCCTGAATTCCTGTGGACAAATCCAAACACCTCCAGAGACTGACTGTGCCTACTATGGAGTTGCTTATCTGCTGTGTGGAAGCCAACAACAGCACGTGCACAGGACAAAACAAGGAGGGCGCTATTCCGCACTTCAGGCTTGGAACAGCTCTGACTTTCTAGCTGCAAGTCCCAGGAGGGAAGGAAATAGCAGAATAACCACTTATCAGGTTGCAGCCGTCTCCAGGGGAGAGGTGGAAAAGACTTACCAAGTTTTGTCCTGTTCGTTTCCTTGCCTTGAATGAGGACAATACAAAATTAGACCCTAAAGGGAAAATTCTTGCACACAGACGAACGCATTCTGCAAAGAAGGAAATATTTTTAATAGTCTGTTTCAGGTTTAGCACATGCTGTCATGTGAGTGGATGAGGCACACCCTTCAGTCTTCATGGACCCTCAGCCTTCAAATAAAAACAACCAAAACAAACCCATTTCTCTAGAACCACACAAATGTCACAGAAATCCCCACAAACCTTCCCATTTGACTCCTCCCGCAGCTTAGGAAGGGGAGGGTACTCTGACAGCCCGCTGCACGACTGACATTTACACTAATGTCAAACACATGAGTGCACATCCACTTCCTAGCTTTTGCCAGAACTGGCAGGTCCTTGCCTCCCTCCATCCCTGCCACCACCCTGCAGCCTGCCAGGCCTCTGGCACTTCCCAAGGACCTGTGGCTTTGTGTCAAGGCCCAGAGGGACTGAGCCCACCCTTCTGCCACACAGCTTGTCTTCCAGCCTGGCCACTTTACTCCTGGGCTGCAGAGATGTATTGGGTTTGCGTGGTAGCAAGGTTTTGGTAGCAGGGAGGCTACAGGAGTGCCTTCTCTGAGAACCTGCTAGAAGCTTCCTCTGTGTGTGGCAGTCAATGCCAGCCAGCTCCAAGACAGACACACTGCTGGTCGAGGCCAAGTCCATCAGAAATGGTGGTAGTGCCGCCGTGATAACATATTCTAAAAAGGAAAAAAAAGTTATTGCGCAGATGTAACTGTGGACAGAGAAGAGCGGAATGAGAATATGTGAAGAACAGCTCTGCAAACACCAAGGTCAGTGCAGAAGGAGGGAAGGAGGTGGTCCAGGCACCAGAGCTGAGGTTCCCCTGCAGCCCGTGCTGAAGACCGTGGTGAAGCAGCTGTGTCCCTGCAGCCCATGGAGGACCACAGGAGTGCAGAGATCCACCTGCAGCCCGTGGAGGAGCCCCATATTGGAGCAGCTGTGAGCTTGTGGGAAGCTCGCGCTGGAGCAGGCTCCTGGCAGGGACCTGCGGCCCCATAGAGGAGGAGCCCACGCTGCAGCAGGTTTTCCTGGTAGGACTTGTGACCCTGAGGGGGACCCACACTAGAGCAGCCCGTGCCTGAAGGACTGACGCCGTGGAAAAGCGACTCACGTTGGAGCCGTTCGTGGAGAACTGTTGCCCGTGGGAAGGACTCACGCCGGAGAGGTCCGCGAAGGACTGTCTCCTGCGGGAAGAACCCCACGGGAGCAGGGGAAGGACTCCTCTCCCTGAGCATCGGCAGAAAGAACAACTGACTGTACTCCCCATTCCCCATCTCCCTGCGCCGCTGGAGGGGAGGAGAGCGAGCCAGGGAAGGAGGGGTGGGTGGGGGGAAGGTGCTTTTAAGATTTCTTTTACTTCCAATTATCCTGCTCTGATTTTGTTGGTAGCAAATTCAATTAATATCCCCAAGTTCAGTGTGTTTTGCCCGTGACGGTAATCGGTGACTGCTCTCTCCCTGTCCGTATCTCAACACGGGAAACTTTCAGTTTATTTTCTCTTCCCTGCCCGTTTGTAGAGGGGGGCAATAGGGCGGCTTTGGTGGGTGCCTAGCATCCAGCCGGGGTCAGCCCCCCGGCAGAGCTCTGCCGGTGTCCCCTCGGGATCCCATTCCCCGGCACCCCGCTGGGGAGGGGCGGGAAGCGCCGCGCGGGGGCGGTAGCTCTTGGCTCTCCCGGCAGCCTCTGCGCGTTTCCGCTGCCGCTGTCGCCACACAAAATAGGCAAACCGGCGCACTGGTGCGCGCGCCTATTCATGGCGCGCGCCCGGCGCGACTGTGAGTGAGAGAGCGGGGCGCCCCGCGGAAACCTCCCCGCGCTCGCCGCTGAGGCCCCGCTCCTCTGCTTCTCTCCCCCAGGAGCAGCGCTGGCTGCGGGAGCCTCGAGAGACTTCGCTCGCCGGAGCGCCTCCCTGGTAGCGCCGCGCAAGGGCACAGGCCGGCCAACGTCTGCTCGCGTGGAGGCGCGCCGCGGCGGCTCCTGCGGACGATGCGGGCGGCGGCGGCGCGCTGCCTCGCTGTCGTCTCGAGTCTACAGGTGACGGCTAGAGGCGGGTTGGAGGGAAGGTCCGCCTCTAACTCGCTCGCCCGCCTCGCACACGCGCCTCGCGCCCAAAATGGGCAGGATCCGACGCGTTTCCGTCGACAATTGGCCTATAACAGTGCAGAGAACGAGCCGGGTGTCCTGTGTGGCTCGGCCGCACCGTTGGCACCTCCCGGGAGCTCAGCGCGCTCGTCCGTGCGCGGTGCCCGCCCCGGATGGCGAGTGTGGGAGTGATGTTGTCGAACACAGGTAACCGCACGCCTTTCTTTGGCTTCGGTGCGCCCCCGGCCGCCCTTGCGGTATGAGTAAGCACCGTATCCACCAGTCTGCGGTAGGCAGAGGGTGTCATCGAAGTGGGGCATCTCGCCGCGGGCGAGCTGCTGTTCTGCACAGCGCTTACACGGCACCTTCCCGGCTGGATCCTGGCAGCCTGCCCAGGAGGATGTTTCTGCGTACAGTCTCCGAAGCTGTTGGTCAGCCGAAGTCAGCGCTCAAGTGTGCACTCTAGAATAACGTGGTCCATATTTTAGTAGGAAAGGCTTTTGGATGCTCACCATCACAAAAAACATAAAGCTTGTTGAGAGATCTATATTGGAAGGTTTGGCTTTTCTGGATCTGTTTTTTTCTTACTCCAACTTATGATGGGAGAAAGTCTACTAAAACCTTTGGCACAGCCAGTTTGGGGGCAAAGGTCAATTGGAATTGACTAGGGACTTGTGACTTTTAACTTTGTACTAATAGTTTGTGAATGTAGATGGTAGATCTTTTAAGACAGCTAAACTGATCTCATCTAAGCCGTATTTTTTCTATATATTTTATGATGTTTAAACCAGAGTTTGGTCTAGATTCAGGAGAATATATTCATACAGAAGAGTTGAAGGTATTTGTTAGTTATCTCATATGAGGCCAGTGGTCTGTTTATCAGCAGCATGCTACATCTACAACTAACCACCAAGCTCTGGAGCACCAGAAGGGAGTCTGTTTAGTTCTCTGTATGTGATAATCAGGACCCAGCGTACTGCTGTAGTTTGGGTTTCTCCCAAAAAGCACCCAGCACATTTGACAAAAATACGAGCAGCACCGTGTTCTCCTTGTGGAGCATAGGTATCAGTTTTCCTGATACTGCTCTGTCTCTGAGAATGGAACATTTTCAGCTAATCTCCTGTTCAGATTTCTGTGAAATACACAAATACCTGCATAAATCTATGTTTTCTGATTAATTTTTTTTAATATCTAAATTCTGTTTATTGCTGATTCATTTCCGACTTTGAACTTTTGACACCTGACTAGTCAAGTGAAACTCTTCAAATTCATGGTCCCTGAACTTGATTATGTCCTGCTACTGAGCAAGTGTGTGTTGTGAATAAAGCTCCAGTTTCACAACCTGAAATTGTCAGCGAACCTCACTGGAAACAAGTACTAAAGTCACTACCTGGAGAACAGTTTGTGTTTGCTCTTTCAGTGTTGATGCTAGCATAGACAGAGGACTTCCCTTAATTCTCTAGCACAGACAGCTAAGATGTAAACAGCAATGATGAATGCTGCCATGATCATAATAAACACTGAAAAGGTTTAGAATCTACTGAGGATACTGCCTTGTTCTCTCCCGTGTTCAGTACCATAGTCAGTCTAAGCATGTTAGATGCTAAACTGTGGATGGCTTCAGATGTGGTTGATTTAATGTTGCATCTCATCCTTCCCCCTCTCCCCAAAGCCAGAAGGGTGGGTGGAAAGATTCAGGGCTAAGCTTGGCTCTGTTCTTACGAGTGAAAGCCCAGTCTAATATTACTGGCTTGCTGTCTCTCAGCTTTGTATTGTGCGAACTATCCACAGGAGAGAATTTGTTCCAAAACTGTCACAATCTTCATCTAGAAGTTGTTCAAAATTATTTTTACTACAGTTCAGCAATTTTAGCACCAAATGATGGAATTAGTCTGTATTTACCTGTCTTTGTTACTGATATGTAAACTGTGGACAAGTTGTGGGGGTTTCTCAGAGTGTCCCATTCAAGCTAGAAATGTCTGAACTAGTAACTATTCTCCTTCCCACCTCCCACATGTCCTTGAAAACATGTTTATTAAGTCTCATTATTATTTCTTTTCCAATTTTCTCCATGCCTGCTCACATAACTGTAGTAGCAAAGGATGTCTGTTTTCAGAGAGGATGCTCAAGTAGAACAGACATGTTTACTGAGTTGAGAGAGATAACTGATAAATGCCAGTGAATGAGTTGGTTCTTGCCATGTTATATCATCAGACCACACTCTGGGTGTGCTAGGGCTCTTCTGACGTAGCCAAGCAGTGTCCACTGCGATGATCACCGTAATCTCTAAACTTTGCAGACAGAGTTTTTCCTACATCTGCTATATTCTCACTTTTCTTTTCTTTTTCTTTTTTTCTTTTTTTTTTCCAGTTTCATCTCCATTTCTGACCTTCAGCATCAGCAGCGTATACCCTGCTGCAGCCACCTGACCTGGAGCACTAAGGAATTTAAAGAGTGGGCTCATCAAGGCCAAGGTGCTTTACCCACACAGACCGCTTTGCCAAGGACTTACCTGATCTTGGTTGGCTATATAACAGATGGAAGGCAAGAGAACAAAGAAAAGTTGGTAGATGGTTGCCTATATGTGAAGGACAATACTGGGATAATTCCATGTGAGGTATGTCCTTGGTCTGAGGGGTTCTGTGTTTATTCCCACTTCTGGGGCAGTGTCACAGACCACCCAGGGCTTCAAATGTTCTGCCAAAGTCTTTATTGAGGGAAATAACACATCTCTGTAGCAGGCAGGAAAACAGCAAGCTTAGAACCTGGGGAGAGGGCAGAGCATGTCAAATTTTTCATTGGTAGAAGAAATATTGAACGTGCTGGCCCAGAAAAAAGACAGCCAGTACACTTCTATTAAATTCACCATAGTACAAGGCAGCCTGGGAGAGGTCCCCTCTATTTGCTGAATTCCAACTAGTGGAGCAGAAATAACTTTCTGGAGAGTTGTACTGGGTGTTCAGTGATGCATTGATAACTTTCAGGAAATAATAGCTAGCATGACAATTGACTTAAAAGCCTTCTGAAGGTCGTTGCAAGGGAGTCTAGATAAGGGAGTAGTGATGGCAGAGAGCTGAAGTTGTGCTTTCCAAGGAGGCAAAGACTAGAAAAAAGTTATGTTGGTATGAACTTCTAACTGAAAACACAGGGGAAAAGAGAGCAGGTGAGAATTTTAGAAAAAATAGTCTGAAAATAACTAAGCCTTGCAGTGAATTAATTATCACCTTTTGGGAGGATGTTACTATAACCCATGAAATGCCACCTGCAGAGCTCAGCAAATCTCTTCTAGGTTTGCATCTGGAAGGACAGAAGTTCTCCATGCAAGATGAGAGAGTGGGCAGAAAACACTGCTCTCATTTAGTAATGAAGCCCAGCAGTAGACAAGTTTGTGATGCACCTGCAAGGGTGGATTAGTAATGAATATTGTAAGTAACATTGAGAAAACATACTGTAACTTATCTCAAGCTTTTGTCTCATCTTTTGGTTTAGCTCCTGCATTTTGAACTTGAGTGGCTGGAGTCACTGGTCGTCTTCCCAAGCTGGTCATATATACCACAGACAGACCAGAGTGCAGCAGGGTACTTGGAAATCCTGGAGGATCCAGTGCCAGTAAATACCCCCAACAAAGTACTTCACAGCATTCCAGTCACCTACCCAACATCAGCTGAGCCACTGCTTAACTCCAGGTAAACACATAATATGCTCAATTCCATCATAGCACTGTTAGTCTGGTTTGACAGGTACCATGAAAAGCACTTGGTTTAGGAAGAGACAAATTCTGTTTCTGCCACAGGTGGAAGCATAATGGTGAGTGGTGGAAGTAAAAGTTAAACAATTAAGCCACTTTTCATTAATCATCTGTTTTCCAGGATTTAATTGGAAGGTTTTATTCTGTATTTTGATAAAATAAGACAAATCTAAATTATTTCCAGATGTATTTTGATATTACAGAGAGGATATGAGAAAGAAGTGTTAATTCAACTTTTAGGCTAAAATTTTTAGCGCAACTTTTTTTTTTTTTTTAGCCTCCAGTGAACCAGAAAAATAATTGAAAGTAAGCCTAGATTGTAATATGAAATTAATATATGCCACTGGTCAAGTTTTTATCATATTACTAAGATAAAGATACCAGTGAAATGTCAACTGATGAGAGTAACTGTTCTTTAGTTGACAGTATGTGAAAATGTAGCCAATGGAATTACAAATCTTACTGAAGTTGATAATTCCAGGTTGTGCTAGATCATGTTTTATCTTCTTGAGCAGAGAATTCTTGGTGTAATTTAGTTACAGTATACAATAAAGTGGCACTAGTCATGCTGCTTCTTTTTAGTTATCTTTTGTTTTAATTGGGTTTATCTGCCTGTGAGAAACTTATTTTAAGCGTATTTGATTTTGCTCATGGGACCTCTCTAAACAAGAAAACTAGTTCCATATTTCAGTATATGTCCTCAGGCTTTTAACATAAAGCTCCTCTGCTACTGACTGATATCTGACCAGTTTTCCATGTTCCTTCTTTAAAAATGTTAACAATGAATTGCTGGTATTACTGTCTGTGGACATCCTGGTTTTGTTTTTTTTCCAAAGTCATAAAGTTAGATAATTGTTTATATGTTTTAGAATCAAGAATGTGTTTGTTTAGAGTAAGTGGAATGGTTATACTCAAGTCCAGTAGGAGCTGAAATGAAAATTACAAACAATATGGATCTACAAATCCAAATTCTGTTTTCTGCTGAAGAATTGGTTGTGACTTCTTTTTTCCTTCTCCTTTAGACCTACAATTAGCATCCAGTTTGTGGTAAAGCTTTTTATAATCTGATTGTTGTCATGAACATGTGAATTTGTTCAACGTAACCCTTCTGTCTTCAAATATTAAGGTTTTTTAAAACATCAAAGAGATTTAGTATATACAAGTGAAAGTACAAATTTTGTAGGCAAATATTGTTTTGAAAACCTCTCTGAGAGATTGTTCATATTACCTTGTTGGATCCTTTATTTCTAAAAAATGCATCCTGCATATGTGTTTATTTTGCTTTTGAGATACTTTTGAGTTGTTCTTTCATCTCTGATTTCATCTGCCTCCTCAATTGCCCTCTAGGATTCCACGTAGGAGAAGATCAAATCTTACTGTAGCAGGTGAATTGATCAGACTCGGGCCTCTCCTTTGTGTTCGCCACAAGACTTTCTTCTTTCTGTTTCTAAAGTGCTTCACCTCAGCTGTTTGTGTCCCTGTGCTGGTGCAGGTAAGTCCTTGGAATTTTGCTCACAAATTCATGGTCTGTGTATGTGCTAGTTGATTAATTCTTTGAAGCTTACCCTTGATTTCCCATTTTGATTTATTCTTCCTTTTCTAGTGATTTTTTTTTTTTAATATTCCATGCAGCTATAATAGTCTCTGTATGTAAGAAGTCTAGTTCTGTGTCCTCCTACCTCATGCAGTTGCAGTGTCTGTAAATGTCTTGCAGATGCCACCCTTTTGCTAAGAGTGTGAGGCAATCCTCTGGAGGGAAGAATTTTTTTCATGTGGTTGATGCTGATGTTGCTTTTGGTTTTTTCTGCTCTAGGAACCCAGCCAGCTGGCATGGCATCATGTCCTCCAGTTGGGTCACAGGTACACAATAACAGGCCTGAGTATGTCCAGCCTGAAGAAATCTGGACAAAAGACTTTTGTCACAAGTGTTCCTTCCTGCCTTCTACCCTACTCTGCGGAGCACGTGAGGGAGCAGCCACTGAACAGCACTTGGCAAGGAGAATCCACTCAGTCTTCTTCCCTTGAGACTGCTGAGCAGCTCAGTGGCTCCTTGGAGCTGGGAGTTGAAGAGGAGGGGCCAAGATCAACCAGAGAGTCCAAGATCATCTCCTATGTGGTAAGGATTTGTAGGGTTAGCCTTCACTCACTCATCCTGTAGGGTTTCAGCTCATGGCCTGCAAGGACTTATTTTCATCATGAGTTTATTTCCTTGCTGCTCAGGCCTGTGAGTCTCTTACATTTTGGAACTCTCTACACTCCTGTAACTTTCTGTTTGCTTGCTATTTAGGGAATTGTCACCAAAATACTCAATGTCCAAGCTGGTCTCTTTTTACTGGATAACCAAGTCTGCTTGTGCCTTGCTTACCTCCCAGTGTTGAAATCTGCACGTGGACTCCGGCCAGGAGCATGTGTGGAAGTAAGTTGAGACTTGCGAATCATAAAGCATTTGTGGAAAAGACTCAGGCCCTGGGGATGGCTTGTGGGTGTGTGGGTCAACAGAAGGCTCCAGCAACACTGGAACTATGTCAGCAAGTATCTGGAACAGAGTTGGGGATCTTACGGTCTAGGCTCAGTCATTAGAGTTGAAATTACTATTATCTGATTCCTTCCTAAACCATGCCAGGTGCCTCAGGCCTGATTATAGACAATCCATTAGAGTGACCAAGAGTTTAGGGTGGGGTGATGGTTTGGGGGAGTGGTGGCAGACTAGCTATCTCTTATGTTGTACGTCTGTATATCTCAGCTCATCGATGTCCACCTCCTGCAGAAGCCTCTTGTATCCTTCCCTTTCATTGTACTTGGTGCATGCCTGAGCAGCACTGTTGTGCTGAAGAGGTTTTCAAGGCTCAGCACCCCCTACCAGCCACCAACCTCTTCAGGAAATCTCTGCTTACAGCTGCTCTTCCGCTACAATCTTGGTATGCCACTCTACCTCTGGCTGGTGAGCCTCCTGGAGACCTTTGAGGAGAGGTGAGGACAGTTCTGAAGTCAGGCCATTTGTAAATGTGCTTTGTAGACTACCTGGGTATCTTCTAGACCCAGTGTTCACAAAATTTTTATGCTTGGATACCATTAGCAGCTATTGGTTCTGATTTATCAGCCTAAGTAAGCTATTCATCTAGATTTCACACAATGTCCAGTTGCTTGTACTTTGCATTTGTTCTTATGAGAAAATCCTGTACAGTTTTCAAGCCCACTGCTCTCGGGGAAGCTGCAACACTCCAGGACATTGTTCTCATGTAGTCCTGCCTGGGAAGTTTTGTCCTGAAATACAGAAGCACTGTAGGGATGTCTGCCTGCCAATGTGGTTTGCTTGGCAAATCAAGAAGGACACTGAGGCTGCAGCTGGAAAATGCTGCTACAACTAGATCACAACCAATACAAAGGCTCGTGTCCTGGCCGTTCACAGAAGCGGCAGCAGCTGCTCAGCATATCCCTTTGAGGTATTCTGAGTGTTGCTGGTAGTGAGATCATTTGCTTGAGAGCCTCTGTCTTAGCAGATTTTCCCACCCATGCTTATCTCTGGGTCTTCCAGATGGCTTCCTGCTCTCCCTGATGGCTGCACTATGGTTGATCACTGTAACTGCTGTCTTGGACTTCAAAATGTATATATTTAATTTCAGTCAATTTCAGCAGTTCACAGAATGTTCGGCGTTCCTGTCCTTTACTGGCACTGTGGAATTTTTACTATGCTTTCCAATAAAACAGCTTCATTTTTGCCCTGGGAATTGTGCTAGCTATAAGTTTCAGGGTTTTTATTATCTTTTTCACTTTAAACGTGATTGCCAAGTCCTGCTACTGCTTGAAAATTGTTCCAGGGAGTTAGTTGCTATCTCTTTTCATTTGAGTTCACTTTCTTTTGTTAAGTCATATTTTGACTGGCAGTGTGATCACTTCCAGGCCGTCAAAAGCAGTAATCTAAACTTCTGAAAGGAACACCACATGAGAAAAATATTGGAACAAGAGTAGTGTGTGGTTGTTTCTGCCTTGTGATTTTTTTGCATCCTGTAAAAGAAAGCCAAGTGTACCTAACATGAGTAATGATACCAAGCTTAGCCAAAATGCATGGAGATCCATTTTCGTGACTTAGAGGGAGATTATTTTCACATGGTTTAGTTTTTTGGCTACTTTAGTTTTGAGATTTTGTTAGTCTGCATTTCTGTATATTTTCCTATTCCTCCTTGTCTGCTTGCCCAAAAGGAATCTGCATTGGCCTTAAATGTTCTTTTTTTTTCAATTACTTGATGTTCTTTTTTTGCTCTCTTTAGTTCCTGTCTTATACAGAGTATTCACTCATAACAAGCAGAAGGAATCCCTGACTTACATGCAAGAGTCACTAAAATGTGAGGACTGCTAGTGTTTTTAACAGTCATAATTTCGCTTCAGGTTTTCCTGTTTCTTTGGGCGCCGTCAACTGCTTAGTTGTACTCACCAAAACCCAGGAGCTGCTGAAAAGTTCCTTGTCCCCCTTCTGCAAGCTATGGTGCCAGACAGAGAGAAAGCAAGAGATATTTATAACGAAATTCTAGCAAAAGTACACCATTGTCCCCTGCAGAAAGTGAGTAAATGCTCTGTGAGCTGTTTGCTGTTTGTCTGAAGGGAAGAAAATCAGCTGATTCATTCTTTCTCTCTTTTTTCATAGTATTTGACTCTGGACCCCCCATGCCAGGCCCCATCTCTGTCTGCAGTTTGCCATGTGGCCCAACAGAAGAGCTGGGAAGGCTTCAGTCCATCGCAGTTGCTCTCTCCCTTGGAAGCACAGCATATGGGCACCCAGGACCTGAATCGCAGACTGGTCTGGTCCTACTGCACACTCTCAGCAGGAAGTTTCCAGCCCCGACTAGTAAGTGCCTTGTTCCCTTTACTGCCTGTGCCTTGAGAGTTCTCAGATCCCCCCATGCCTTCCAGCACCCTGTCTTGTGCATGCCTATTTTTCCTGTTCAGAAATGACACCGCTTTTCTGGCTGAGATGTGTTGAAATTTCAGCTGCTACTCCACACACTGTAATTTATGGCTTTGAAAGATGGGAATTGTTTGATGCTCATTGTGGCTTCCTTTCTGTTGCAGATACTGCTGGGTGTGCTGAGGGTCTCATCCAGGAGCGGTTCGCTCCAGCTGCAGGACAAGAGCGGCACACTTCACTGTGTGATATCCCAGAAGGATGGTAGCCCCTTTGCCAATACAGCTCTCATAGGTATGTCCCACTAAACTATATTTGGGTGCTGATCTTTTGCTCTTCTGCCACTCAGCTCCAAAACAAGGAAGAAGAGACTTGGTACGGAGATGCTGAACTGTCACTGCCTGACCTCGTGACTTTAAAATGAGGATATTGAGTTTACTGGTTTTATGTTCTCTTTTTATTTAGCTCAGCTCCTTTCTCTGATGTGTTTGCAGGATCACTCTTGCAGGTGGAAAACTACCAACTTGTAGTGGAGAGATTCCTTCAGACTGATTTTCCCTCCTGGGAACACCTGGAAAATCTTGAACATGTGAGGGAGAAAAAAACCAGGTGAGTCCCTTTATTCAGTATGCAAGTAAAATCATGACTCTCCAGTTCCACAACTGTTTTGGGTCCGTGGTAAAGCTTCTTATCAACATAGCATTTAATTGCCAAAACAACTGTCCTTTCCTATTTGTAGAAAATGAGCTCTTTATCAGCAACAAACCCACCATCTGTATTTTGTTCAGAATACACACAGCCTAGTAGCTGGCTTCTACTTCCCTCTCTCCCATGGCTCGTGATGAGTACCTGTGGGGCACTCTCGAGCAGTGCTTTTCCCAGATAGTCATTTGTTTTGGACAGGCACCTCTCAGGGACAGGGAGTTTCACTACTACCATTTTTTGTTTCAGTGTCTATGTGCAGTTCTACTTTGAGGATGTTCAGGTTCTCCATGCTGCTGAAGGACAACTTCAGAAAGGCCATAGGAGTGAAAACAGCTCCTCTTTGAGGAAGAAGAAAGATGACAATGTAACACCTGAGCTGGAAGCTCCGGAGGCGAAAGTGCTGAAATTGGAGGATCCCAAGTCAGATACTCACAGAGATGAGAACTGTCAGGGGGGGCAGAGTAGCACTGGAACAACCAGCTGTGTATCTCACCTGTTCTTGGTTACCCAGAAAGAGGGGCTTATGTTACGCAATTACCAACTACCCAGAGAAGATGGAGGACAGGAGCTGCAGCACAGTTTCCAGGCCACAGTGCTGTGGCTGGGCAGACCTCGGCTGTGGAGCCACCCTAGAGAAATTGGGAATCTACCAGAGCTGGAGGACACCAGTTGTGATGGAGAAGAGGGCGTGACACAGCAAGAAGTGAGGGCAGCTTTGTGGTGTGGTTTGACAGGTCGGGGGGGGAGGTGTGGGGGGATGGCTCCTCAGGGAGTCTGTAGTTAATTAGGTATCTAGATTACTAATCAATGGGAAGGTGGGTTTCGTGTTTGGTAGAGGTGTGTGTTTATGCAGGCAACTTCCTTGTGCCACCCCAAGGAAGTTCCAGCTCCTCTCTGTCACCTTCCTCTAAATGCATCTACTTTCTCATACCCTTGGTTGTGCTAATCTTACTTCTCTATCAAGACGTTGCCTGGGCTGGGCTTGCTCTCGCTGTATTTTTCATTTTGTGCCTTTGTCCTAACACTTCTCATCACCTTCTCTCTCTCTTCCCTCCCTCACCAGGCACTACTCCTCTTTATGGGAAAGTCTCTTCGATGGTTTCCATTTCTGCACCAGGATGGACTGTATCGCTTCATTGTGCCCTGCTGCTCGGTAAGAGAGACGTCGTCTTGCTGGTTCCTCTAGGAGACTTGCTGAACTGCATGCGAGAGTCGAGGAATCAGAGGGTGACTAAGCTGTTTTCGAGGCTTGGAATTTCCGTTTGTCTTGCCAAGAAACTGCTTCAGTTGTTCTGTGTTTGATTAAAATTCTCAGAGCTCTGAGTTCAGTGGATTTTTTTTTTTTTGTTCTTTAAACCATTGTTCTTCCCCTTTTTCCCTAAATAACTTTAAGCTCCTTCCTTTAATAGTCTTCTTGTCTTGCCTTGTCACTCTTACCTCAGGACTTGGAAGTGTTTGACAAGCTCTGTTTTCCACCTGTGCCAGCAACCTTCCTGACCAGGCCATCTTGCCCCCTGTGCCTGCCTGTCCAAGATACCTGGCACTTACAGCATGAGACCTGGATCTCCCATCTGCCTGAACGCCAGGTATGCAGTGCCTTATTGCTCTGGGCTTTCACAGATGACTTGCAGATCTCTCCAAAACTAACTAGAAAATTATCAGTACAGAGTATCTTGTTGATGGTCCCGTTCTGCTCGAAGCTCCATCAGAAGCTGCTGCCAGGCTTCGCATTTTTCTGCCTCAGAATTAATCTGGAGAGGAAGCATGAATTGCTTGACTGACCTCTAAGTGTGCAGGACTTGTCTTCACTGCTCTGGCTGGGGATACCTGTAAACTGCAATCTGTCTGAGGCTATGTCTCCCTCACTTCTAGCTGGGAGCCAGGATGGTGCTGACAGGCATGGACCAGAGAATTTCCTCCATTCCAGAAGTGCTTAGCAGCAGGTATGTGGGTCTCCCCCAAATTACAAGTGACTGTGTCTTAGGGAATGGGTCTGTATTCATTTTTATTGCAAACAGTGCTATATTAAACAGCAATTAACACTAAGAATATGGTTTGGAAATCTTACTGTGTGGAAGCAGTCCACACCTCTCCCCTCCTAGTTATCAAAGCTAAACGGATTTCTGGACACTGCAAAATAGTGTCTAGAAAATGTTTCAGCTGCTGCTGGTATGGACTAGGATCCAAAGTTCTCTGCTAAATTCCTAGCAGAAGTGGAAACAGGTACAGCAGGGAAAATGAGACTGAATATATGACTTATTTTTGTCGTTTGTAGATTATTTTAGCATAACTCAAAAAATACTAGAATTAGAAGCTTTTCTGTTCAAAGCGTGTTTAATCTGGGGTGATATGCATGCACTCTGGAATTTTCACCAGTGCCTTACAATAAACTGTTTTTCTTTCCTCGGCTTCTTCCTCTAATTAAGAAAAACAATTAGGAGTTAAGCAGATAGAAAGGCTGTAATGCCTTACTCTTCTTCACTGCAGAGCCTGAATAGGCAGAAAGCAAGTTAAAGGGGCCTCTTGTCCCTGGATGGGGTAGACTGCAGCAAGCTGGGAGCTACTCCAGTAGCTCAGGTGCTCAAGGACAGGTTCCTCTGAGACTGGGCTCAAGCAACAGCACTTCACCCAGTCCTTTTTTGCAATCTTCAAGTCAGGCCCTCCTCCACTACTTTTGTCTTCAGGCAGGACAAAAATCCTGGTCTCTTCTCAGTTTTACAGGTTCCCTTGTTTCTTTCTCTGGTGAGATAGTGGAGAGGACCTTGTGTGCCTCTCCCAAGAATGAGAAGCCATCTGTGACTGTTCGCCTTCCAAGGCAGAAAGGTAAGGTTGTGACAGCTTATCCAGTTACAACAGCTTGATTTTCGTTCCTTTCTGTTTCAGAGAGGCAATGCACTTGGCTAACTGTGCTGCTGTATCTGAGAATAGTGGAAGTATGCCAGGATGTTGCATCCCATTGCATGTCAGAGGGCTAGGAAACTGCACACTGCATGTGTGGGGATGGGAATGCTGTACCTGGAAAACTTGTGAGGCGGAACACTGTGATGGGAGGAAAAACACTTCTAGCAGGTCCAGCTCAGTGATGGTGTGTGCTGCCTGTGTGTGAGTGAGCTCATGGGGTGTGTGGTTCTGTGCCTCCTCAGGGAACCTGCTAGCCAGTGATCACAGTGTGAAGCTCAGCGTCTCAGTTGCTCCAGGCTCCCCTGTTGTGATGGACATTTACATTAATGCCACCTATCTGCAGCATCTCTGGGGTTTGCTACCTGGAGCCAAGATCCTCTTCCAGAACCTGGAACGCAAAATCTCAAGGTACCCCTGTCTTTAGAGCCCTGATCCAGGCTCTGACCTCTCTTTTAAACTCTGTCTTAACCTTAACATCTCTTAACATCTCTCCTGTGGACTTTGATCCCTTGTCCATACCTTCATGCCTCCAAATCCCTTTCTACAAATTATTTTCCTACCCTGTTACAAATGAAGATCAGCTCAGTCATCCCAAGAAAACTGAACGTTTAGTTTCTACAAGCTCTTTTTGACGTATACTCTTTCATATTGCAGATTTCATAATGTTTATTGCACATACATTGCCTGCAGCTGTGTGAGCATCATATCTCTGCCAGCTTCTCACCTACTCTTTCCTTCCAGGTAACTTCAGGGTCTGTTCTCACCTTACAGTGTCCTTAGAAAAGTTTCTATGTTCTAAGTTTCTCAAATTCCTATTTCTTCTAGTCCTGCAGGAGAAGCCTCATCCCCCTCACTAGTGTTTCTGTCCAACTTACGACTTCACCTGCAAAACCTACCCCGGGCACGGATTTTATGCCACTTGTCCTGTGTACTGACTGTGTACCTGCAGTGGGTTTGCTCACTTTGCAGCAGCATTTTCAAGGAGGTATTCGAGCTTCCACAGAGATAATTTGTGAGAGGTCTTGCAGATTTTCTACTCTGACACGTCCTTTGCTACCATGTTGAAGAAATAAGAGTTCCTATCCCAATTCCAAGCCCTCTTTTCCCAGTGTCTAAGAATGACTTGCATATTAGAAGGGGACCAAAGTGACAATGGATTAGAAGTACATATCTAATGCCAGGCAGGCTGACAGGTAGGACTGGGGGTGAAGTGAGCACATGAAAGAGGAGAATCCTACTCTGTTAGTGCTCTGCTCTTCCTGTGTTCACTGCTATTGGGCTTCAGCATCTCGCAGCAGGTGATTTTTGTCCCCATATAAACTTTTCCCAAGACACTCATTGGAAATGCAGTGCAATTTTTTAATCCTTTGCATACTTAATTAGGAAAGAATTTTAAAAAAGCAATGTCCCTTCCCCCTCTCTCTTATACCCACCCATACATAGCTGTAGCTTTATTCTTCCTTCAGGGGAGGTGCACCCGACACAATCCACCATGTCCATCACACACAGGAGTGAGACAAGCCAGTGCACGGTAAGCACTGTAGAGATTGGGTGTGGGGAATGTGGGAAGGAGGGAGCAAATTGCACCACAAAAAGAAGGGGGGAAATCAGACCAAGGATGGAATATAGACAGAATAGCAAAGATAGAAGTTAGAGGTGTCACGTCTTCTGAGATGTGAACAAACCTCCCTCTCGCTTTACTGAGATCTGTTGTCTGGGGCATAACCCTTGTGAGGGAGGCAGGCATTGTCCTGACCTCCCTCTGCATCTCACCCTGCCTGCTCTCTCCACAGGGTGCTGGTGGAGGACGGAACAGGTGAAGCTGTGGTGCTGTGCAGGAATGAACATGTGGCAGCAATGCTGGGCCTGAGCCCTCCTGAGTGGGAAGCTCTGCAGAACTGTGTGCAGAGCAGGGGCAGCGTGTCCATTCAGCATGGGGAAGCTACTGGCACGGGGGTGAGTGGGTTATTCCAGTAGCAACTGCAGCCTCAGCTGAACTGAATCTCCCTTTGCTTGTGGGTGTTCCAGAGGCTCCCTGCCTCACTCTGAACGCTCTCTGGCAACACACCCTTTCCTTCCTCAGTGTCTAGAGGAACCTGAGGATATTGTTGCTTGCTACCTAAGGAGTCTGTGCAGGAGTCCTCTCATCTGTCGTCCTATCCTGCTGGATTTCAGCCTAGACAGGAAGCCCTCCAAGATCTTGCGGCCTGGTAAGCAAGCACTGCTGGCTTTTCTAATATTTAGTATGGGAAGGAAGGGTGGAGACGTCTCACCAGGCTGGGGAAGGAGAGGTGCCTTTGCTGCCCACAAAGCAAGGTCTGAACGATTTCCATGGAATTGTGAATTCCGTAGTGCAGAGCTAAGATGTGTCTTAGCAGATCCATGCTTATAAATATACAGAAATAATATTACAAAAGTCACTATCTAAAACAATATATATGAAATTTTCTACTTTACAAAGAAATATAGAGCTGTTTTAGAACAAGGTTACCAGTCCTTGGATGGGTCGGGAATCTGGTTGCCAGTTACTGTGCAGACCTCTCAAATCAAGTGTTTGACTTTAGACAGGACAGCATGTAGAGTCAAGACTAGGCCTGAAAATCCACACCATGGGCACAGTATTTAAAGCACTGAAGTGTTTTGAATTCGTGGGTGCTGGGGTCCGAGCTAATGCTGCTGCGAATGTGCTGTTGCTGTGTTAAGGGGACATTCTTCATAGCTGTTTGCACCAATACTAGTGCTTCAGAATGAGTCCAGGTGCTGCAGGGGTTGATTTGCTAAGCTCACCAGAGGAGCTGTGAGAGACATTATTTTTGGCTGTCGTGTGCCCTGTCTGTCAGTCCAGGTTGCTGACACTGATAGGAGATACAAAGCTCAGTGCATCAGCTATGTGAGCAGCACATAGTTCACAGCATTTCATGCTGCCAGTGCCTGTTTCTTCCGTTAGAAGGATGCTGGCAAAATGCATTAATCTACCTGCATCCTGGATTCATTAATCATGCTGTCCTTTGAGGTTTAGGAGATGCCAAGCAGCTGCTGCAAGGCCTTACCTCCCCCAGCAACTTCTACAGTGGTGTGCTAGATCAGAGCCACAGCCCTGTACTGAGTTGTTGCTGGTTGTACCTTTCCCCTTCAGCTCCAGCACAGCTGAGAAATTTTCGGTGTGGTGAAGTGGAGTTTGTGTCACAAGTGGGACCTCGTCTGAGCCTGCTGTGCCTGAATGTGGAGGAAGTGGAACAAGATGCCTTACGCTATCTGAACAGGGAGAGGATTAGGAGGACATCCAGTTACTGCTGAGTGAGAGACACTGTTTAACATCTCTTCCACTGGGAGAAGAATTATGGAAATACCTGCTGGAATTGGGAGCTTTTTTTATCTCCTTTCCAGTGGGAGCAAAGGCCCATAAGCACAGGGTGAAGGGTGCAATCAAGAAACTGCTGTGACTTGTGGAATTCCTGAATGGTCCTTCTAGACCATTGTCCCCCAGTGCTACTGGGCTACATTTTGGAAGAAAAATATTCAATGCTTCCTAGGTGATAGCCATTGCCTCAGGCCTAGGGCACACAATGTGTGTATTTTATGTGGTAGTATCTACTAAATAAAGCTATTAAAATAGTATTTTAAAAACACTCTATCTATTTTAGTATTAAGGTTTACTTACTAGATGGGGAATGAGGCAGAACATAGATCCTTGGTTTATGAACCAGAGACAGGCATTTTGTAAGTAACAAAACTATACAGTTGCCCCAAGGTATGGTCTTCTTAACCTAATTGAAATTATTAAAATTACACTTTTAAAGCATTTCCTTCAAGAAGAGAAGGTAAGTGAATAAGTTACTCTATGGAGACCAAATTACAATAGTCAATCACAAGATTATTTGGACATAGCAGCTTAAACAGCAGCCTGAACATTATGTGGTGCTGGTAAGAAGAGGCAGGCAACGGGCTGTGATACAAACTCACAGCATGCCTCAGGCTTGCCCATCTGTTCCTGATCAGGGAGGAGTTTGCCATGGCAGTGCCAGTATCCGTGGTGGCACAACAGACTAGCCAAAACAACATCACCATCTCAAGAGATTCCTCTTCCATCTGCTTGCATTGATGACTGAGTGTTCTGCACTTGCTTTTGGCAAAATAGCACCCACATCCTTCATCTTGCTCTCCAGGCCAGTAAATTCCATACACTGTTACTTTCCTACCTTAACTCGATGTCTAGTACTTGACAGCACATTTGAGCAGCTGCTGTTTGGAGTTTGGTTTGTTTGGTGTTTCCCCCCTGCCTTTCTCTCTTTCCCCTTAGTTTGAGCTACATATTAAAACGTCAGGCAGTGGGTTTATTGGGCATGTGTAAAGTATCTTCCCTCTCAAGGCCTGCTGTCCACTTCTGAGACCAAGGCAACGAGTGACACAAGACCTGACTGTGTCACTGACCATGCAATAAAGTTCTGAGACTCCATCCTGAAAGAGGTCTACATAAGTTTTGCTGTGACAGCCTTATTTTCTGTAGATGCTTTCTGCGAAACAGTAAACACTTTGCTAAAGCTTATCTGCCACCCTCCAGAAAGAAAACAAAACAAACAAAAAAAAACCTAAAAATAAACTATCTCAGCCTGAGGAAAATGCTGACTGTAAGTGATGTAAGATAGAGATCAAAATCTGATTAAAAATTGCAACTGAAAGTAATATGTATAACACAGTAACAGCAGTTCTACAGAAATAGATAAGAAGTGCCAGGTAACAGTTATTTAAAAACAAAAAAGGAAAATTTGGCTGTATAGTTATATCTATGTTTAATAACTTTGCTTCTGAATTTGAACTTTCCAGTAGTATCTTACAAGTCTACTTCTCCTCATTCTGTATGTTGGTTTTCTGTCTGCTGCCACACTGAGGACTCATCCTCCTCTTTTATTTTGCATTACAAATACAGTCATCAGTGGTCATACAGGACTTCAGACATGGTTTGCCTTTGCCAGGTTATTCTGAGCCTGTTAGCAGTTTTCTAACCCATCGCTGTTTTGCCATTCACAACATCTTTTTCAGAGTTTGATTACAGTATTCCAAGAAGACTGAGGAGGGTTAACTGGCTCTCTTTTTTTCAGTTTTATTAGTACAGTCAGAGAATCACAAGCAAGAGACAGGGCACTCAAATCTGTTTGGGGGCAATTAGGATTTGCTTGTTTTTGGTGCTCAGAAGGAACAGTTCTCAGATGTATTGCAGGAAACCCTTTTCCTGTTTGTCTCTGAGCTTCTGCCCATGATCAGAGTTCTGGTCACTGGGTTACTTCAGACCAGAGAACATATCTTGTTCTTGCAACCAGAGCTCTTCCTTTATACAATTCTCCTTATCGCATTCCTTGCTCTCCTTCTGGAGCCAAACCAAGTATCCTGTTGTTGGTGGGTAAGAAATAATAATTCAAGAGAAATGATCTGATTTCATGTTTGTGCTACTACATGCTCTGGAACTGGGAGAAGGCGTTGAAATTCTCAGCCCAAGAGGGAGCAAAGTCTGAAGTGTGTCCTGGTGTCAGCATAGCTGGAATAACTATTCTGTGTGGAAAGACAGAGATGTTCCATTTAGCTGATTTTCTTTAGCTCTCCACCAGTTCACCTGTAGAGCCTGTCACCCAAAGCCAAAGCCGATGAATACTAAAGGCAGTTGTCCTGTGCTGTCTACAGCCCTCCTTATTCCAGGTCTGTGTGGGATTGCTCAGGCTGGCAGTGCTCTCTAGCCCTGTTCAGGGCATCTGTAGTAGGTACTGTTTACTGGAGACACTGCAATCTACAGGGGAGGTGTCTGAGTAAAGTGGGTACAAGCAAGGCAAGGACGGGGCAGCAGAAAGACGTGTCCTCCCATTCTGACAGGCTCTGCTGCTGTAACCAAACTCAGCAAAAGGGTCTAAATATACGTCAAGCACATATGCTTATGAGTTTCCCTTTCCAAACTTACCTCCAGGCCCAGCAGAGTGTCCGATTGTTTCAGAGGCATTATATCGACAGCAGATACAGGGGAAGCAGAAGCATCCAGTGACAGGCTGGAAAGGAGGATGACACTGACTCTGCATTCAGGTTCACCAGCTGCAAGTTAGTCCACCTTGTATTGCTGAAATCTGTAGCAGAAGGATAATGAGAGGCTACCAGAATGGGAACGCAGCAGGGAAGGAAAGACGAGTGTGTATATTTATTCCTTCCTATTTTTCTGAATAATGATAAAGATAGACCCTGCCTCTTGTACTGGAGACTCATTGCAATGAAGCCCTCACTGTAGAAGAGCTGTGACCCTTCTCATGTAGAACAGGAGAAGATACTCAGGCTCTTTGGAAAGTTTGATTTTCTGTGAATAAAGTGGCTTCTTAAATAAAGGGATGGGGCTGGAGTCAGAGAGACTGTCATTAATAACAGGTAAAGGGGCCTGCTGGTTTGGTACAGAAGCAGAATCTAAGCTGAACTGGCCAAAGAAAGTGTCAAAAGTTGTGGGGTTTGGTTGGTTTGGTTAACATTCAAAGGAATATATTCTTTTGAAGTTTGTCTCTTCTGGTTCCCTAGCAGTTCTGTCCCCATGCCAAGAGAGCAATCATTACCATGAAAAACATAAGAAATAGCAGGACCAAACACAGACCCTTTGCTTCATCCCAGGAACAGAGAGAGAGAGAGAGAGAGAGAGAGAGAGGTGCTTGGATTAGTCATGCTTTCATTCCCTTCCTTGACTGACACAGGTGCTGCAGGAACCTCCCAGTTTACACAGGCACAGTTTAAACTCTCTTCTCCCCCACACTTGTGGTCTCTGGATGGTGTTAAACTCTACCTGTCACTTTGATGTTGCCTGTAGCCTTGGCAATGTTGTTTTCAATCACACAGGTGTAGGTGGCATTAGCAGTAATGTTGTGCAGAAAGGAAACCACTTTCAGAGTGATGTTTTCAGCGTTCAGCTCGTAGCTGGTGTTGGCAGTGTGAGGGAGGTGCTCCCCGGCACCGTTGTCGACTGTCCAGTGCACGGTGGGTCGAGGGAACCAGCGCAGTGCTTCACACTGCAACGTGTCCCCACTGCTGCTGTTCACTACGAACACCTCGGGGATGCTGAAGGCTTTGGGAGGGAAAACAGGGAGAGAGTCAGTACAAGGCAAGTGTGTAGGAACTGGGCATGAGGTACCCAACTGTTTCTGCCAGTCCCAGAGATAGCCCTTTCTTCACTGTCTGGGAGGTGCTTCACATAGCAATAGGGCAGAACACATGCTTTTGGTAAAAAATGGGAGACACTGAAATGACACTGGGCAAATGTTCCTGTGACACCAACTCTCGTTACTGTCTTTCTGTGCCAAGATGGGCTCCCTGTGACTGATAAGGGGAGGGGGCTCTGCTGGGCCAAAGGAGGAGACTGGACCTGCAGAAAAGCAGCCTGTCTCATTCAAGAGCTCTGCTGGTTACTACTGTCCTGCTGTGGCTGGCGTTAAACATAGAGGACACCCCTCACACTGCTGGTACATCTCACCTCACCAAGTAAGCAGTCATCCATCCTAAAACTGCATTTCCTTGACTTGGAGAGGTCTGAGAGTTTTTCCTGTCACAGTTTGAGCTGTGGGGCAGCAATGCTGGTCACAGTGATGAGAGGGAGAGTGCAAAGACTGCAGACTGCAGGAGACCCTTAAGTGGTTCATCCATCAGTCTCCAGCACGAGGTGAGCCTTTGGGAGGTGACTTGTTACTGCAGCCAAATTCGTCTCACTAGAAGACTGAAGACCTGGTGGTTCCTAGATCTCATCTGAAGGACTGACTCTTCAATATTTGGAGAGCCATGAAGACTTTTTTCATCCTTTCTAACAACTCCCTTGGTTACTTAGAAACCTCCCCTGGAAGGTCATGGACTCACTGTACTGTGCCACCCCTGAGTTCAAGGGGTATGCTGGGACCTCAGGCGTGCCAGCAAAAGCCAGTCAGAGAAACACTAAGAACACCTACCTGTGCAGGCTCATGTTATCCCCATTGTGTAGTCAGTGTAACTTACCACAAGGTCATCAGGAAGGCCCAGAGGTGACAGAAATAGGTGAAACTATTCAGTGGGAGTGTACTGCTTTGTGCCAGCAGTGAATATGATGGCCAAGCCCAGAGGGTTCAGAAGAATTAAGCACCCCTTAGTGAAAACTCGTTTGTATCTGTGTGAGCTTTGAGGCTGACTCATAACAAGGTGAACAATTAACTCTGCCAAATATGTAATACTTCAGATAACTATGGTATGGGACGTTTGTTGCTTTGATAGTAATTTTTTAAAACTGAATGCTTTAGAAAAACAAAGAAAAATATGTTAAATAGGCTACAATTTTTACCACGCAGCACTTCTCTTGGCTGGACATTTATCTTAATTCTAGAGAGGAAAAGCTACCATGTTATCTTCAACAAGTATAAAATCTGGATCTTTATAAGATCAATTAGCTACTGCCATTTTTAGGGGCTATTTGTAGTTAGTTACATAGCTGGTAGACTACATGTGATTAATAGAAGAAAAAAGCATTAAATTAATAATCCTTTCTGGAATGAGAATGTCAAAAGACTGGGTAAGGCCATAAACACCCTTGTAAAATTAAGAAAAAGTACCCTGTTCCTACTCAGGGGTGCAGGGCCTGATGGTGGCTGCTGGAGGAGCGGTGCTGTTCCCAGAGCCTCCAGCATCATTATAACCACAGGTAAGTCCAACCAGGCCACATTACAGCATGTGTTTTGCAGCAGGGTTTTCTTCCTTGCACCCCTCACCTCCTGTCCTGTACTGCAGCACTGCTGCCCCGCTCCCTCTGGCTGTGGTGACAGAGCACTGGTAGGTGCCAGCATCGGAGAGCTGCACATCCCTCAGCTCCAGGGAAGCATTGCCGCCGATCACCTGGTCCGCAAACAGCGCCGTGCGGCCCCGAAACAATGGATTTTGCTCTTGCAGGTGGTCCTTCCCACCCTTGAACTCGTGAACCAGCCCAGCTACTCCTGCCTTGGCCCACTGGATCACTATGCTGCCCATCCGGATGTCGGGCTCGAAAGTGCAGTCCAGAATGCTGCGCTGGCCGATGTTCCCTGGAGACGTCAGCGCCATCACACTGATGGAGTGTTTTCCTTCAAGGAGAAAGCAAAGGTTATGAAAAGGTGAGGCAGGGAGTGTGAAGAAAGACCAAGCTGCCCTGCAGCTGTCAGGAACCAATCCCAAGGTTGGACAGGCGCTGACACATGGCAAGGACACCAGCAGCAACTACCAGTGCTGCTAGCAGAGGCTGCTCTTTCCCTCTAGTGGAATCCAAGCAGTTTTCTTTCATTTAAGAAAAAGTCAGCATTGCTCCTCAAGTCAAACCTTAAGCTGCAATCTTGAGAATTAACTTCTTCACAGAGCCAGGTCGCCTTTCCCATGCATCCCTTCCCTACTCATCCTCACTCAGTACACTCCAAGGAGGCTGCAGTTTGGCCAACACCGAAACAACATATCTTTGTTATCTCTGAGGGAGCTGGGAAATGTGCATCTCCTCCTACCTGGGAGAAAGAGCACAATATGTGCAGGACTTTCAGTGTGTTTGTTTAGGGCCCCAAGCCCAAGGATATTTCAGCTAATGCACCACTACACCTCCAGCAGCACAAGCTGCACTACACTTATCTAGCCTTTGTTAAAAGGTCATAGGTGGTACTTCCACACATGGCCACAGCCCACGCACAGGATGGACACACGGATGCAGAGGCAGGGCAGAAGTTCATCGCCCCACCAGTAACGGCAAGAAATCTGAGCAGTCACATACCTGAGACACCAAAACCAATGATCAGGGCAATCACCGCAGCCAGGATGATAATGACTGTAGTCATGCTATTTGGGGGAAAAGGAAAGGACAGCATTACTGCACAGCCCACTTCCTCCATGCCCTGTGCCTGTGGTGCCCATCTGCAGAGCTGCCAGCAGGAAGGAGGTCGAGGCAGGTAAGCCACAGACCTAGAGCCAGGTGGACAGGGAAGCACGAGACCACAATAGTGATGAACATTCAAGTGAGCACTCGACATCAAAGTGGGGGGGACCATGTGGTGGGAAGAGCCCCAAGCTTTGCCGTAGAGCAGCCAGCTGGTCCCAATGGAGGATGCTCCACTCTGCATCCCCTGGTGCATACGTAAGACAGGCAGTTCTCGCTGGTACTTGCAGGGGAAGAGTGAATCAGGGAGGTGAGCAGAGCAGACAGGCTACTGACCCCAGGAGACACCAAGTACAAGCCAGGGAGTGGGCAGAGGGGGCTGGAAATGGGAACAGTTTTTTGAGCTGGTCAGATATGAGATGCTTCATGTGCTCATGGATAATGGGCTGTTAAATGAGAGACTGAAGAGGAGAGGACCACTTGCCAAGCCACATGGGCAGAGCAGCCCTGCCAGAGATGAAAGGCAGCAAATCATGGTGTAGCACAGTTTGAGCCTTGCCAAGAGGAACCCATCCAGCACAGCTCCAGCTTAGACAGACTGAGCAGCGTGGCCAGATGCAGGCTACCACTGCTGCCAGTGGAGCTGTCACATGTGGTCATGGGCACATTTTCATGTGGACTGGGGGGCTGTGGCAGCAACCTCAGCTCCCCACCAGAGCAAGCCCTGAAGCAGCTCCCCACAAAACCCACAGGTACATCGTGGGACAAGCAGCTCATATGCTCATTTCCAACAGTCTCAGAGACTGCTCACAGAGCAGAAGCCCAGAGAGCTGCAGGAGGTCCTCACAGGACACTTGACCCATTCCCAAGTCTGAAAGGCACTGGAGGAAGCACTGCAGGAGGCATGGGCACCAACAGTGGCCACTCCACACTACTGTCCAGGGCTGCCAGCCCAGGGCTTGTTTTGCTCCACTGTTCACAGAAACTCTTGAGCTGCTGCTTCCAGGCTGAAAGAGGTCATGGTCCTTCTGCCAACACAGAAGCAGCTGCTCTGCTTCAACAGCATTTGCTGGCTTGCAGCAGACTCTTTCCCAATACATGGAGCAGCCTCCCACAGGAAAGCCCAGCAGTGTTCATACAAGCACAAACTGCTCCCACCATTACTGTGTGCCTGCATCAGTCACTTGCACAATCGAGCCTTATTTGCCTCAGATGCCACGATCATATGGCTGATACGGAGCTCTAGGGAGCTGCACCGTGTGAACAAGCCTCTCCTGCAGGGAACATCAGGGGAGGGAGGAAGGGAATATGGGTTGAAAGAGGGCATGGAAAGAAGGGGAGATATTGGAGAAGACTTGCTTGCCCTCCCACTGTCTCCCTTCCATTCTCATTTCTAAAACCAGTGGAAAGTTTCTGAGGAAGCCCTGTCTGCACACACTCAGGGGAAGGGATCAGAATAATGTATTTCACCACAAGTATGCTCTAAATCCAAAAAAGGGTTCATACAGCTTCATATGTACATTCACATCTGTACCAAGATCTCTCTGCCTAGATGTTCTCAGAGCTGGGAGGTGTCACATATTTGACTCTCTCCCCATTCTCACCAGTTTTCAGTCATGACCAGAGTGGGCAGCAGTTCTTCACTTACTGGTGTCCTGGAGCTGCAGTCACAGCTGACACTATTGGGGCAGAAAGCAATGGATATTCTCCAGCCATGGGCATTGGGCAGCTGGGCACCCATCAACAGCCACTCCCCTGGGGGTCTGTGGGATGGGGACTTTGACACCACCCTCAGTTCCCAGTGCCGCTTCAGCAGCCTGTGGGATGCTGCTCTGTGTATCCTGCCCTCTTTTCCATGTTCCTGTTCCTGATCAGCCAAAATTGGAATCAAATCAGAATCAAATTTGACATAAAATTCATTCATTCCCTGCCTGAATGCTGCTGAGCACAGCCTGGGGACAGGGAATGGCTCACAGCCTTGCTGTGACAAGCAGTCTTAATATTTCAGATCTCTAGCTCTGCTGGGAGTAAGCTTTCCCTCAGGAATGGGCTTAGATGGTAAAAAAAATGGAAGAATAAGAGACTGAAGGTCCCCTGCCTTCCTTCTTATATCAAAGTTTGCTGTGGGAAAGAAATAGCATGGCAGAGATAACCTAAAGGGGTGGAGTTTCCATTCAAATATGCAGCTAATGATTGCAGAACCCAACTTTTGTCAGCACTTTAGTTTTATTTTTTTAGTGTGGTTTTTTTGTTTACTTGGTTGGTTTTGGTTTTTTTTTCTGAAATCAGTAGAAATCTCCCCCTGCTTCTCTGAAACTTCCTGGAAAATTCACCCCTCTCTCTGGTCTATTTCTGTATTTCAAGATTAGCCTGAAGAGGCAAGTGTCCCTGAAGAATCTTTCTCCTTCCAGGCACCTACTGCTGCCTGGCTGTGTGCAGGAGCCAGGGGCAGGCAGAGGAAGTGGTAGAGCCAGAGAATGGTTCTCAGAGCAGCAAGCATTTTTTCACACCAATCAGTTATCGCATTTCCCTGACAAAGGGCGGCTGAGCTGCCTCTTGAGAATAACAGATGGTTATTGCATGCATTCCAGACACATGAGGAATATGATGCCCAGTGAGTATTTACACTGTGTGACATTGTGTCTACTGGTCACTTCGCTATTGTCAGTGAAAAAGTGCACATACCATTACTATTTAGTTCTTCCTTGATGTTTCATGTAAAAAAGCTCATGTCAGACAGGTCTCTTCTGTTCATGTGGACTGTCCTTCTCCCTACTGCTATTCAGCTCAGGTGCGATGGATACTCATAATAGCTGAAACATTTTTCACCCAATAAATGCTATCAGGGCTGTCTCACACACTTCACTGGAGCATCCATCTACATCCAGTCTGGAAAACCCACAGCCGGGATTAAAAGATGCAGCTTGTTGGTGCCTCTGTTCAAGCAGTGAGGTTTGGATGCAAGCTCGGTCCACAATCACTGGAGACTGGAACAAGTTTACCACTTTACCCATCTGGTGGGAGTTATTTTCAACCAATCAGGAGATAAGGATATTAGATAGATACTTCTATGACTTTCACCACAATACATCTTTTTCTAACTGCAGTTCATCAGGATTTGGTCAACAGTTCCAAAGGAAACGGGTTCATTGAAACAAGAGGCACAAACCAGTTTGAACATCTTCCCAGCTCTTACTCCTGACCCACACTGCAAGGAAATTTGTGGAGGACAGCTTCTTTCTCCCCACAGCATGCTGAAGTGATGGCAACATAAGCAACTGTCTGAGGACCAGGAGAAGGAATGGGCTGCTTTCTTCAACCCCAACCTACAACAGCAGGAACATAGCCTTTCTTGAGCCACTGATACCCTAACATACCACAGCATTCAATCCTGAGGTAGCAAATTCTAGCAAATGCACAGTTTCTAGGACACACATTCTCACTACAGCTGATGACCTGTACATGGGTGTCTGATAGATACATGGACTTGAAGATTGTATAAAAGAAGCTGTACAGGTATTTAAATGAGTGCAAGTATAGTCAGGCTACAAAGAACTGCTGTCTTGAAAGCTCCTGGCAGCAGGGTGATACATCCCAAGAGTCTGAAAAATGCAACTCCCTCCCTCCCCTCTCCCATAGCAGGTCCAGATAATACCATACCTCCAGAAAATGATCTGGCCTTGGGATGCCATGGTCATGGCATCTATGAAGAGAAGCCAAACACCTGGTGCCCGCTGGTCCCACACTGTTCAGCCAGCCCCTGTCCTTTGCATGATATATTCTCCAAAGCTGTCCTGCTTAAATAACTGAACTCAGCTAAGGAGTGGTGAGCCCAAGCAGTGAACTCTTAGGAATGAGGAAGCAGTGAGCATCTTGACTCACCCCACCAGGGCAGTCAAAAGCAGGGAGGCCTGGTTAGAGACCTCCTACACCATGCGTTTAAGAAACGTGTCTTAATTTAAGACAAAACATAGCACAACTCGTAATTTGGTAGCCAGCTAATCCGGGGCCCTAACTGCAGAAGTCTCCCATGTAGATCCACAGCTTACCCATCGCTAGTCATGTCATACCCAGGACTAGCTCAGGTCTCCTCACTAAAATCTCCAATCATGCTCTTGGCACTGGGCAGAGAGGCCCTACCTGCCTTCCTAGTGGCCCTCCTGGCTCCATTCACAATGCACATCTTCCCCTGCCTCTCTGTGCTGGGCTAAGAGACTCTTCTGGGCTCAGCAGTGCTGTCAGAGCCACACAGATTTGGCAGTGCCCCCTCTCCTGACTGTTGTTTAATTCCACTGAACTCCTTCAAGCCAAACTACTTCTCCTCCCCGAGGCCAGCTCCTGCTGCTCTCAGGTCTGTCATTATGGTACATATCAGAGCATGTAAAGGAAGGAAACTGGGCCCTGAAAGACCCTGCAAGTCTTTCCCTCTGAGCTTGGTCTCACCCAAGGCTGGGGGCAAGATAAGTGGCTCTTGGGCATAAGAGGTTGAGAAGGGCAGAAAGCGCAGAAAAGGGAAGGCAGCTTGCACCCCATGTTCAGTCTCTCAAAAGGGAACCCATGTATCCTGCCACCTATGTCTGGACTGTATTCCAAGGAAGATGGTAAAAGGGGGGATATTTGACAGTCTGTAGCTGTTTCTAGCAAGTTTGGATGGTTAGTGAGAGTGAACAGCTTTCCCATGCAAAGCTGAGAATGCCCAGAGGAAGTGGGAGCAGTCCAGCAACTAAAAAAACCCAAACTACTTTCTTTGCAACAGAGGTTAAAGTCAAGACCAACCAATATTGGTCTGTGATGATAATCTGAAAAAAAAATCCTCATTTATTTTTCAGTGTGGGTAGGAAGGACTGAACGTGGGTCAGGGCCCAAGATGTTCAGTGGTCTGGAGGAAGCATGGGCCCAAGGATCAGACTGCAGTCACTGTCCTTCATGATACAATTTGCTTCTTTCTTCTCAAATAATAATTCTGTCAGAAGGGTTCCCCGGAATAAGTTCACACCTTATTTCAGTGTCACTGGATTGCTGCAGGAGCTATTGGTGAAGGAGAAAAAACAGGAGAAGATAGAGTTGTGGCAAGCTGACCAGCAGCCAAGTTTGACAGATCATTCAAGAGTGGTGAAGGCAGCCAGAGCACTGGAAAAGATGAAAGCTGTTCTTGGGATTTGCCCAAAAACATTGAACATGTTTCCAGCCTTGTGATCCCACATCTGTAACAATGATGTCAAGAAGTGATTGAGAAGCACCAGAAATAGGAACATTAGTGGTCCGGAAGGAGGAGAGCTTGACACTGCTTTATCAGCTCTACCTGTCCTCAGCCTCACCTGCCCTTGAAGGGAAGCTGGAAGCAGCAGCACTCAGAACAAGCCCTCACCTCTCAAAACAGGGAGGTGGTGAGCCACCCTTCTCTGGAAACATACGAAGTTCTCTACACTGCCTGTGAGCCACTGGCAGGATCTGTCCTGACGTGGCACTCCAGACAGTAAGTGAACCCTTGTGAATCACCTCCTGCTATGGGAAGGTCAAGAAGCCTGTCTGAGCCAGATTCTGCTCTGTTCCTGAGATCTTCTGGGACAAACTTGGTGGCACAGAGCTACAAATGCAGCCACGTCACCAGTGTGGTTTGCCTCTCTGAGAAGGGAGAGATATCCCAGCATGATACTTGACTCTGGAGGCACCCTACATGGAGTTTTTCAGGCTGCAGACATCCTTTTGGGTTTTCCACAGTCTTTTTTCTTGCTCATTTTACTTCCAGCTACACTTTGTTTTCCCTACTGAGGGAGTAAATCCCTCTTCTCTTGACTCCCAAAACCCCTCTTCGTGTTCATCCCCTTTTTTTTTTTTTCCCCACAAATTTTGGAGACAGGCAATTTTATCAACAAGAGCTTTGGTCCTGGAAAAAATATCAATATCTACCAGTGCAGTTCTGTCAGCACTGCATGTATATCTGTCTTGAAAATACCTTTGTTATCTCAGGGACCAGCTGGTCAGAAAAAAACATAATATAGCCCAGCAGACTGACTACACCTTCTGATCTACCACCTGCCCCAGGCTATTCTCACCAACAGAGCATTGGAAGCCCATCTTGGGCTGTTGGTATATCAACATCAGTAGGATGTATTAATTTGCAATGTATTCTGAATTATGAAGACCAAGGGGAAGGACTCATTGCAAACAATGGGAGGACACTCACACCTAAACCCCCCAAAATGACCAAGGTCATTAAATGTCTTTTCTGAACATGATTCATGAAGATATCCTCATGCACAGCCCTGTTTGCCAAAATACACAGTGATAGCCAGTCAGTACTTTATAATCTCTGAGACTGACTGAGCTTTCAAGTTTAACAAAAAGAAAAAAATCAATACCAGGGCTGACCCTGGCAGGATTAGTACCCCATGCTGTCCAAAACCTACTCTCCCCATGTCAAATGTAGAGCTGCAGTTCCCTGAAGAGTTTATATGGTCGCTGGTGTAATTCTCACAAACAGCTTCTTGGAAAATGTCAGCGACAGGGTGTGTAAGGGATACCTAATACAAAGAGAAAACACATTCCACTGTCTGAGAGGACTAGGATGGTTTCAGACAGAAATTATGTGCCTAGAAAGTAGTGCTGTCCTTATGTGTTCCCTCTCCAGCACAGCATGTAAGCTCTGAGAAAAAGCAACACACATATGGGGGGTGGGGAAAAGAAACAGAAAGACACAGAAAATGAGGCATTTTGGTTTACATCACATTCTGTATGGAGCACTGACTCTGCACATAGCAAGAATAAGAATGAGTTACTGTTTGTTCCCTTAAGGGTTAACTCAAACTAAACTTTCACTTTGAAATTTCAGAGTCAGCAACTTGGGAGAATTAAATTGCCTAACTTGGAGATTTAAACTGCCTAACCTTCCCTGATTGTTTGACAGCCCTTTCTGAATGATTAATGGAAAGTTATAAAAAGGATTTGCATAAGGATATCTATCTCCTTTGCTGGGAAGAAGTTCCAAAACTGGCTTTGTAAGAGGATTGACAACAAATAAGAGACTTCTAAGGTTGAGCAAGCAAACAGACAGCACAGGTTTCTGCTATTTACAAGCCAGCTATTATAATCCAGAAAGCAAGAACCACTCCTTGCTGTTGACACTGGAGCAGCATTCCTCTCCCCAGATGATCAAAAGTCAGACCTTTGTCCTCAGATCCCTGGGCAGTATTAGGATCCCCTAGCAACACACACCTATTGGCAAGGTTACCCCCAGGGCAGTAGTGTTCCCAGTCTCAATGACACCATTGTGTTTTGTAAAGGAAGGTATTCAGGGTGTCTGCTTCACCCAGACAAGCAGCAGTCAGCAATCAGGAGGTTAGCAACTGCCCTTCCAAAGAAGTTCGAAGTTTGTCATCACAGATACCATTTCCCTTCCCCTGTGGAAAATGGGATTGTAACAAATGTGGATAGAGCCTTTCCCAAATCTTCATTTGCAAAGCCTAGCCATGATGATGATGGAAAATGGGACAAGCTCTCCTTGTAAATAGAGCCTTGCCAAGGCCACACAAGCCAAATCCAGGGGTTTTACTGTATTCCATTTTGTTATGCTGCTCTTGTCCAGTTGCCCCAGTTCAGGACAGACAACTGCAAACTTGCACCTGTTGCTCCTGCTGATGCCCAAACTCCAAGCCAAAGGCCCTACTGATGCCCCCACCTCTTCCCCTGGTGAGCTGGGTACTCTCCAGGCTCCCACATCACTGCCAGCAGCACTATGTCCCACACCATCTCCATGGAGAACATACAGACCAGGTGGATGATACACTAATTCCTGTTCTTATCAGTGCCATGAGTTTTTCTTGGACTTTTTTCAGATACATAACTAACCTGCCTTGCTCCTACTTTGCAGGGAGGGTATAATGAGACTACAGGTTACCCAGAAAAAGTATAAGAGTTGCAAACACAAGAGCAGCTCCCAGAAGCATAACTGTGCTATATGCACACATCCAAGTCTGGAATCCAGATGCATATCTAGGGAGGCAGAAGCCATATTCAGGCTGCCAAGCCTTCCCAAGGCATGACCACAAACCCTTCTGAATGTGCCCCAATGAGCAGCTTTGGCCTCATCAAGAAGGACAGCTTAGGCTGTCAATCCTGCAGAATAGGACACATCTTGAACCCCCTGTGAGGTAACTGTTCAGGCTGAGTCTCCCCTTAGAGCATGGCCCCATGGGCCACAAGTCCTCAAGAGTGTAGGCAGCAGTACAAATCCCAGAATTTGCTTCTGTTCAAGCAACAAAATAACTTTGCAAACACACCTCTGAGTGGAACATAAGGCACAACTTTATTTTCCCTTATCCCCCTTTCTCAGGTCACATCCACCACAACGTAGTTTTCTGGCAGCGAGGCTATGCAGTGATCACAGGGATCCTCTTGGTTGGTGCTCATGCAGCAGCCAGCAGCAGCGCCCTGGGCTCGCAGGAGCTCACCTGGCTGCTCAGAGCGCCACTGTCCTGAGCAAACTCCTGGATGACGTGTCACTGGGTGGCCCACCCAGACACTCTGAGCTCTGCTTCACTTGTCCACAGCACGACCAGTGGTGGCAGCCAGGGTGACCTTTGTGTCCATGGCCACAGCCTTGGTACCCACCTGCAAGAGAAGAGGCACCAGCAGCTCAACCCAAAGTGGGCCAGAAAATACCAGTGTGTTATAGGCTTTGCCCTCAGGACTTCTCTAAAATGGAGAGGTGCGTGCTGATGAGAACACAGCATATTCAAGGCCAAAATTGTCAGGGCTCCATAAAGAAAGAAGAACACCCAAAGGGGACTGCCCTGGCCCAATAGCTGCGGAAAGCTGAAGATTTCTATCCCCTTCCCTGTTGAATAATCCAACATGGACCTCCAGAACCCCATGCCAGCTGCTAGTAGCTATGGCCAGAGCTAGATACAGACCAAGCGCAGAAAAAGGAAGAGGTCAGATCTATACTAAAAACATGCAAACCACAGAATGACACATGCAGGTTAAGGACTGGGAAGCTGGTTGGGATTAAACAAATAAGGGAGTTGAACTCTTGTCCTAAACAAGGAATGAGGCTTCTCCAGAGTCCAGAATCCCCCCAGACTTCTCCAGAGTCCCCACTGTGTGACACAGACCACAACCTCCCAACATGCCAGCACTGAACAGGAATAGTACAGAAGCAATGCTGCTCAGCCTCACTGAGAAAGGCTGCCCCACCTCCTGCACAGGTCTCTGTCCATAGGATGTGCTACAAAGACTTTAGCGTGTCCTGCTGCATTTCTACTGCAGCAGTCACACATGTATGTACAGTTCATCACAGTCTTGGTGCATGGGCAAGGCAGGAGTTGGGCCAGAGTATCGACTCACACCCACATACACTAGGGAGGACAACAAATTCTCCAGATCCCAGCAGTGTGGGGAAAGCTGAGCACCCACCTGGCATGGTCCCACCACAGGCACAGCGAGCAGCTTTCTGCCCTCCACTTGAGCAGAACGTGCAGCAGTGGAACACACCTTGGTGCTCACGGAACTTGTGTTTCACCGTCAGAGTGAACGGAGAGCCCTGCCGTGGACAAGCAAACAGAGAGATTGCTGTACTGGATGCTACCAGATCTTCTGACTGCATTTTCAAACACCAGCTGGGTGATCCTGTCAGTCACAGACCACCGAGTCCAGTCTTAAACTGCTATATAGTAGAGGTAATCCTTAGAGAGATTTACAGCAAATACTTAGAAAAGAAAAGCAGGTAAAGAAGAAGCAGTGCAAGAGAAACAAGAAATGCTACCTGCACATGTTGCCCTTTCACACAGACGCAGACAGCATACAAGCCTGGCTCCTCAGGGCTGTAGGAAATATAGTAGGTCCCATCACCATTATCACACACTGTTGGCTTGACCGCACTGCAAACAGAGAGAAGTCCAAGAAGTCAGTGACTGGCAGAGAATTGCTCTAAATGTGAACCACAGTTTGGCCTAGATTTGCAGTCAGCTCTTCATTCAGCAGCTGCGGGTCTCAAGCAAGTTTGAAAGGATATATGAGCCATGCTCAAGCACTGAGTGGCTTTTCACACACCTGCTACTGGAAGCTGCAATAACCATACAAAGGAAGTCACACAAAGCTAGCTGTGCTGCAAGGATTTGTAGCACACTGAAAAGGCAGAAGATGACACACAGCACACTTGAAGGTCAGATTATCCCATCAGATAAGAGCCCGCAGAAATGGGGTAAAGTCACAGCTTCAGCAAGCAGTTACCTCCAGAAAAACCCACTAAGAAGACAGGATATAACAGGGCATGTTTGAATCACTTCAATCACTGTCCCAACTACATTGACCCCACTCTTCTCTTCAATGCTCAGAGCAGTTCTAGGTCCCTGCTGGTAAACACTCCCTTTTCACAGTGAAGCTTATTGGGTTTCACAAGGAATCCTTGTGAACAGAGTGCCAGGAAGAAAGCATCAAGTTACTTGAGGACTGGTTGCCTGCTCCAGAGAGAAGGAAAGAGCTTTCCACAGACAATTATCAGGTAGCTCTGCATAGAGAAAGGTATTCTTGCTAATCCCCACTAATTAGTCTCTCATTAGGCCCCATGAGATGACAGTTTATAACCTGTATTCCCCACCCCCCACCATTTCACATCAATACAGCTGCCCACATAATTTCCTGCCATGAACTGTGTGGTGATACTTCACACTCTTCTGCAGCTGTCGTGCCTCAAAGCAAAGCCAGATAGCTTTCAGCAATGGATGTAGCAACTGCACACACTCAAGAGCAAGAAATTGTGTTAGTGTGGCCACAGCGACCTCTACCCTGCCAAGTGAAATTCACCCTCATTCACACGCCTTCCTATGTTGTATGTGCACTTAAGGAAGGAAGGTACATTGGAACAATATTCCCGAACAACGATGCTCTATTGATAAGCATCTCAGCAGCCAGCACTGCTTCTGTGTGCCTTGTCAACACTCCCCCATAGCAAAGAGTTTTAGCATCCTGTCCCTTTATTTTTTATCAGGTCATCCCACCAACAGCCTTCCTGGAACAAGTTCCAACAACTATAAAACAGAATAGATATATTTTGTCATTTTCATTGTGGAAACATGAGCTCAAGTGCAGCCTTTCCTGCTTTTGCTAGAAAACCTCCAAACACGTTAAAGTACTCAACGCTTACAACTATGGTAAAAAGGACAAAGTCACAACACAGATATTTTCTCCAGAACATGAACTAGGCACTTCCATCAAATGTCAGGGGCTCCTAAGCTTGGTAAACTGTCTGTCTGACTTGGGACAGCCAGCCAGGGGTTGCGATGATTTATGCTTATTAGGTGTTACCAAAAGCAGGATCCCTGGGTGTCTGCTAGTAGGAGTGAGAAGGAGCAACAACTCACTCTGGCAGTGTCTTGCAACACCCACTGAGAGCTGAATCCTTTCAGAAGCCCAAATCACTCAAAGACTCAAGACATATCTGAGCCAACACTGTCAAGCTCTACTACAACCAGTAGGAAGCACTGCTATACATCTGGGAAGAAGAGTAGTGCCTTTTCCTCTACAGATTCTGACCCACATGCTAAAGCACATCCTCCCACCTGCCTGACCAAGGAGGGAGCCAGGGCAAGGGAAAAAGAAAGGCAAACCCAGTGACCAGGGAGTTCTTGGGTGAAATACCCACCAGTCTCTCTTGTCCTTGTGGGTGATGGTGACCTGCACAGCCTCTCCTCCTTGCCCCATCCGCTCCCCCGTGGTGTCATTGCAGAGCAGGGTAAAGCCAGCCCGCTGGTTCTGACGGGCACTGTGGAGACCTGCAAGGCAGAGACACAGGACCAGAAAGGATTCATATTAGCCATGGCTCCCACCTCCCACCTATTTTGCAGTGTTGCAGCCCCATCAGAACACAAACAGGACTTGGCTTCTGAGGTGTACAGATCCTCTCACTCACAGGGAAAAGTCAATATATGACTGGGTATCAGGAAAGAGTGGAAGCCATAGGCACTGAGAGATGTTTAGCAGGTTTAGCCCGGAGGTCTGTACGGACCAGTGTGACCCTCTTGCCTTCACTCTAAGCCCAGCTGGCACCTTCCCAGAAGGTCTCAAGATGCACCATACAACACGGAGGGAGGAGGAACAGCCCCACTGTGCAGTGTGGAGCCCCAGAGACCCTAACACTTAAAGCTGGGCATGGAAGGGATCAAATGAGCCCTAGGTCTGTCTCATCTGCCCTGCACGGGCCATTACTGACCAGAGCTGGCTGCACTGTGGGCTGGTCTGAACATTATCTGTTTGCTGGCTCTACTCCAAGTCCTTAGTAAGCAAATATCCATGAAACCATCAACACCAGTTATTCCCACAGCAATCTCAGCAGAAGCTGTAATGGGAATGAACCTACTCGCTTAGCCACAGAGAGGATCTGCCTGGGCTCATGCTTCAGAACACCTTGGGCAAGTCCTGCTATTACAGGTGCCATTCTCATCCCCTGAGTGAACTGTGGTCTTTGGCTTCGGTTGCTCTCCTTGCACCTTAGCCCCATGTTGAGGTCAGTGATGGTGTGGAGAGCAGTTCCAGCATGCTCTGTACATCTGGATGAGAATAACTGTCTCGCTCCCTCCCCAGCACAGCTCCCATGGGCAAGCAATGCAACCTCTGACCCTAGTCAATGCCTGGATAGCAGGGAGCCAACAGTGCCTTAAGCTGCACATGATGTGTGTACAGAGAGCAGAGAGGTGACTTCAGGGAGCGGTGCAATCCCATTCAGCTGCAGCACAGCACCCCCTTACCTTCCCCATGCAGGGTACATCTGGCTGGATCAACCACTTTATTGAGAACGGCCCCAAAAACTGCATAGCCACAACACTGCCCTGCCCTCTCCTGGGCAGAGAACTGGATTCTGTCATCCACGCTGGGGTGGGTGCTGTAAGCAACGCTGTTCAGCTTTGTCAGACGGCTTGACACCACCCCTTTGGTGATGAGGATCTCCAGATCGGAGCCGCTCATCAGCAAGTGCTCTGTGAACTCCACACCTGTCCTCATGTCCAGCAACAGCTGCTGCAGCTGAGCCTTCTGCAAGTGCAGCAGGTTTTCCTTCTGCACCTTCAAGTCCTCCAGCTGCTTCAGCAGCCGGTCCCGGTGCTCTTCAATCGCTCGCACATAGCCACCGGCAAACAAGCAGATCTCTGTGGCCACAGCCTCTGCGCGGCTGCGGACGGCACTGCCCATCTTATCAATCTGGCTCAGCACATCCTCCAGGGTGTCCATGTGCTGCTGGGTGTTCTTGAGCAGCTTCCGCAGGGCGTCCCCATGCCTGTGGATGACATTGCTGGTGAAGTCATAGGGGTGCTGACGGTGTCTGCCCAACACACACTCCTGGCACACCGGCTGGTCACACTGCTCGCAGAACAGCCTTAGCTCCTCTGTGGGATGGGAAGGGCACAAGAGAGGCTTCCCGGCCTGGCTGCAATCTTTGCTGTTCTCCAGCTCCATCACAGCATGAGAAGCTGTCTTCTTTTGTCTCCTAGGAGGGAGTAATCAAAAATCACTATATGCATCTTGGGTACAAAATGCAAACACAGAGGCCCTTTGCAAACGCCATTCTGTACAGGCTGCAAGTCATAGTACACACTGCTCCCTCCTGTCTCCACTGAAGGACTTGTGCTCTCCTGAGTACAAGGATCCACACAAAAGAGGGCAGCATCTGCAAGCAGCTCCTTAGGGGTTGCTCTCCCTGAGCCTCCCCGACAGCCTGGCGAGCACTGTTTTCAGACACAAGAATCGTGTGTTTCACCATGGCCACACATGGGCCAGTGAAGATGGGCTGTCAGGCTGCTAAAGCCAGCAGCCATGGATGGAGCCTGACAGAAGTGGGATAGTCACAATGATTCCCACAGCCTGCTGTGTCAAAGGCAGCTGGAGGGCGGTGAGCACTGCAAAGTGAGAGTTGGCAGGAGATGTCTTAAGAGAGAATCACTCACCAGCAGTCATTTTTGGTGAGGAACGGGAGGTACCAGGCTCCTCAGCCATCAGCCCAGGGATTTCACTAGCTTTAAATTTGCAAAGGCAAGTGAGCCCTAATAATCCTTAGAGGGAAAATCCAGTTCAGGCCACTGCTAGAAGACAGTCTAACAGTAAAACATTTAATATTCCAAAAGTCGAACTCCATTTCCTTCTGGTCACCAGGTGAGGTCCTGCTCAGAAGAGACCAAGGATAGGACACAAAGAAGCTGTTATAACCCAGACATCCACCATGTCACAAGGCAGCACCAGAATATTTCTATTTTATGCTATTTTGGGCACTAGGAGCTAGTTATTGAGCAGGATATAAAACCTTTCCCTCCTTCCTTGTCTCCTGCACTAGTGACTTGTGGCAGTTGCAGTGGGAGCTCCAGGCCATAAGCAAAGCACTCCAAGGACCAAGCTCTACAGAGTTGCTTTGGCAACCTCATCACAGGGCAGAACACGGCCCTTACACTACTCCTTTTCCTTGCCACTAATCTCCCTTGGGTCCAGCATATTTTCAAAGCCTTTCTAGCATTACAACCTTCAAATTTACACTTCCCTGATTTCAGCCTAAGATCTCTCTCACTTATCCCAAGGAGCACAACCATGGCACTCAGATGCACAAAAACCTTCCCTACACACCAGGAAATAATTTCAAAATGGTTTTCCTCAGCCCTTGTTCTAGTCTGACATCAACTAAATAAAGTGCAAGGCTGTAGATGCTAGTGGGGAGAAAAAATGATAGCAGTAAAAAGTGGATCATGGAGACAAATTTTCTACAGTTTATCCCTTCTGCAGTTATTCCTGTCAGTGCAGCAGGCTACTATTCAAGGTCTGGGTTTATCACTCTTCAGCAGCTTGCATGAGGTATGAGGCATTAGCTAATCGGAATGGTATGCTGAAAATTACACCCAGAGTGGAAAGGTAACTTGGAGCCTAAGCTATTTTCCCTGCAGGCACCAGTATCTGCAGGGGGGCAGGGCAGAGAGGAATATGTCTGTTCTTTCTGGGGTAAGAATTTGCTAATAAAGTGGAAAGGAACTGCAAATGTGGAGAGAATAGGCTGAGCTGATTAACCCAGGCTGAGGTTTCCCTGTCTAGTGTTGCTGGGTGTTTTTCTGACCTTGCCTGTCACCTTGCTTCAGAAGGCCATTCAGGCTTCCTATCAGTTTTCTTCTACAGTGCTGCCTGTCCTCTGTCGAGCTTAAAGGCCACTGCAGCCGCCTCCTCTTCAATTCCTAGCTCTGTAGCAGTCACCTCTTCTTCCTACAACAATTCCTACACTACCTAACAGGCAAGCACGTGGGTTGATCATCAGCAGGTACCAACCACAGTAGGCAGGACTTCCACTTAATTTCTTTCACTTTGTCTAAGGGTGCTTTTACATATAACTGCAGTAAATGTTCTGGAGGTGGAGGGAGGCGGGCCAGCAGCTTAACTTCCCCATTTTCCCTTGGAAGATGTGCCTTCTCCAAAGTGGGACAGCACAACACATGAAGCTCTTGTCCTGCTAAGTACTCTGCCCATACCCACACCTGATGGAGCCCCATCAGTCTCCCCGGAGCCCAGTAATACTAAACTGAGATGCAAAGGAGCATGTGGACACCACCATAGGGAAAGGGTGGCCTGATTTTGGACTTAATGGCCAATTATAGGTCTGATGGGCCTACTCCCAAGAAGTTCAAGAAGACAATGCTCTCAAGCACATGGTCTGATTCCTGGGGCTGCGCTGTGCAAGGCCAGACGATGGAGTACGATCCTCGTGAGCCCCTTCCAACTCCAGATATTCCACGATTCTATGCTAGCAGCTACCCCGCCCGAGTACAGCGCATCCTCCGGGAGGGGGTGGTGGGCAACAACCCGCCGAGGACTGAACGAGCTGGGAGCCGCCGGTTCGCAGCTCTGGCTCTGCGCGGGCCCCCTTCCCAC